ACTTCCAGGGATGGGGCAGCCACAGCTTCTCTGGGAAACCTGTCTGCAACACCCCTGAGAGATCCTGCAGGCAGGAGTGACCGAGCAGATGTCACCCACTGTGACCAACTTACCTGCAGGGGCGTTTTTAGTTCACTCAAATCCCACTGAATGTGAGAGCAGAGGAAGAGTAACAGCAGGTGCTGCCGCTGCAGATACCTGGGAAGTGGGAAAACTGGGCCAATACCAAGTGAAACGTGGAAGTTTGATGCACATGGAGCCATCATCCCTCTTAGACCATGCCTCTCAGCACCACGAGCTCTGCCCAAGCAGCAGCACACAGAGGGATCCATAGGGATCCACAGGGATCCACAGGGATCGTTGGCTCCGGGTGGAGCGAGCGCAGTGTGTCACAAACACCTCAATCCACCCACGAAGCACATCCAGGTCCAAGTCCATTCGGGATCACTCCCCAGGAGTGATCACACCCTGGCGTGTAACGCAGTGACAGTTATTCCTCCAGCAGGGATGAGCTCCTACTGGAAGCTTTATAGGAAACTTGGAACTTGCCTTTCTTGATTTTCCAGATGACACCCAACATACCAGTGCCTGCAGAACAACAGCTGTTTGGTGTGTAGGGAACTGCGCCCCAACAACTGGCATTTTGTGCTTAACTTGGACACAGGGAAGCCAACATTAAATAAAAATATGCATGGGACATTTCATCCTTCCTTGGATGCCAAAGGGTCTCACTGCACAGAGACTCAGAGCAATCTATTAAGCGGGAAAGGTGTCCCTGCCCACGACAGGGGGGTTGGAATGAGATGATCTTGATTCGGATCCCTTCCAATCCAAACCATTCTGTGATTCCATGGTCACCATCTCTCTCTCTGGACAGCATGGAGGCACTTTGGACAGGCTGGTCAGGGAATCCATCGACACCCAGCCACAGAAACGGGTCTGGACTTGGCTGCAGAGACTTTGGGCACCTGCACACCTACAGTGTGGTCTAACTCTGCACTCACCCCTTGGCAAGACCCCCGGGATGGCTTTTCCAAACCTCTCCTAAGAATTATGTAGATAAATATCACTTGAAATCAGCGAATTGTTAAGATGGAGAAAAACCCTCGGAGACCACTGAGTCCAACTCTTCCCCCAGCACTGCCAAGGCCACCACTGACCCATGTCCTCAAGTGTCACATCCCAAGGCTTTTAAATCCCTCCAGGGATGGGGACTCCGCCACTGCCCTGGGCAGCTGTGTCAATGTCTCACCATCCTTAGGGTGAAGAAATTTTCCTGATATCCAATCCAAACCTCTCCTGGCACAACTTGGGGCTGTTTCCTCTCCTCCTGTCCCTGTTCCCTGGGAGCAGAGCCCGACCCCCCCCGGCTCCCCCCTCCTGTCAGGGAGTTGCAGAGCCAGAAGGTCCCCCCTGAGCCTCCTTTTCTCCAGGCTGAGCCCCCCCAGCTGATCCTCCTAGCACTCGATCCCCTCAAAAAATAATCCACCCAAGCATTTGGGGTTTGCAGGGCACCAGCAATTATCGTGACTGGCTCAGGATGCCCATGTGTCATCTCCAGCGCTGCACAGGAGCCGCAGAGACAATTCACCTGAGGAATCCAGAGGAGTGGAGAATCCCACAGCTGGAGTCAGGATAAAGCACTGGGCACACACTGCTCTGTCCTGTTCACAGGTGGAAGGATCACTTTTGGACCACGGTCTAAGCAGAGCTTGTCCTCAAGCCTTCAAGCGGGTAAATAATTTTGTTTCCACTCTTCACTGCGGCCGTTTTTGCCCCCCTGGGTGGGTGAAGGTGTGAGCAAAGGCAGCAGCCCCGCAAGCCTCTCTCTGTGGAAATGCAATCACGAGTGGTGGCCAAACTGGGGAGTTCTCATCACTGCCAAGCCCCTGGCGTCTGTGTTATCCACCCTATCCCATCAAACTCCTGACAGGTGAATAAAAACGCTGGTTTGGGGGTCACTTACCACGTCCACGTGGGCCAGTCTAGCTCAGGAATTGTTCAGAGGCAGGGAAAACACACACCACGCTCTCCACAGGTGAAAACCAGTCCCACTCCTCCTCTGGAACAAGCAAGACCAGACCTTTTCTCTCTCTTAATCACTAAAGATTCTGTGAACACGCAACACCTGAGGCTGACATTGCTACACCAGAGCCAGGGTCACATCCACATTTAATATCCCTTTTTTTACAAGGCTGCAAAAAAATCACCAAAAAAAAAGGAAAAAAAAAAAAAAAGGAAGAGGAAAAACACTCACAGGAGTCAAGTAATTCTGATTTTATATTCAGGCTTTGCAAAATCAAGGATGTCCTATTTTTACTATTCATTCAAGGCAAAAAGTCTACACAGGCATGTCAAAAGCAGGAATTGAGAAACAAGTGAACACAACAGTCTTGAAAATACGTTTAATGTCTAATCTTATACAAAAGTGACGGCATTTTCAAAAAAATATCAAATCCTGTATTTATAGCTTCTCACTATCATACAGCAATATTTCGTTTCCTCTAAAGAAAATACAGCAGCAGGTGATAATCTATACTTTTTAAAGATGTGATTGCTTATATTCTGTATTGTAAACAAACGCAGTATGTCAACCTCAAAAGCACAAGTCAAAAACGAACTTCTCAGCAGTTTGAACTCATAAACGATGCATAGAAATGTACAAATTCCATTGCGAAAGCTTCAGGCCAGAAGTTTGCTCACACTTGACATATAAACATGTGATAAAGTTACTACACGGCATATAAGTGACACCTTGAGTTTTTACACAATAGATTTAACAGGAAATACCCTTTTCACTGCTATGCAAAGAACTCTGCTCACAAAAACGAAGGGGTTATGAAACAGTTTTCCATGACCTCAAGAAATACGAATATTACATTGAAAAACATCCCATATATATTGAATTTTTAGCCTAAATGTTCCAGTAATAAATCCTGCCTATTTTCAGGAAGAACCTAGAAGTCTAGTTACCTTTACAAAACCCCTTTCCAAAAAGCATCGCTTGCTACCACTTTTGCTTTCTCCTTCCCTACCTCTTCCCGTTCCCTGCAGAGACACAACAGCCAGTGCAATTCCAGCTGGGAGTGCTGCTACTGCATGATCCACTCATTTGGAATAACTGTGTTTTCATTACATTGGTTCATATCTAAGGCTGCAGGTATCAAAACAAAACAACAACAACAAAAAAAAGCACTTCAGCAAATGCAGTCCACGTTTCTTATGTTAGTTTTTAGTTAAGTCTTGCCGAGGTCTAAGCCGAGACTGCTTGGGGTTGGGGTGGGGGGCAACTGGGGTTTGTTTAAGGTTAGTGGAGATTTGGGACTTTTGTTTCCTGTTCCTAAGGTTAAGTTGCTGGGTTTTAAAGTATTTTTGTTCAGCTCCAGTATTGTCTTCCTAAAAACAAAACAAAACAAAACAAAACAAAAAAAATCACATTCCTTTGCTATCAGCTTTCATGACATCAGATTAAAACAGGCATAGCTCAGCTGGCTGCTTCCTCCTGCACAAAATACTGTAAGATTTTGCCATAAAGGCTGCAACTACCACCAAGAGTCACCAGCAGGTCACCCCCACGTGTTTTGAAGCTGCCCATCACGCGCATGCAGGAAGCCACGAAGGTACTGGAAGAGAAATGAAACTCGTCGTCACAGTTCCATGATACAAAAGACTCCCTAATGAGCTACCATGTGAAGCGAAGATCTGTTCCTAATTCTACCCACAGAGGCTAAGTTAGGAGATTCCCCCCCCCCCAGCTGGGGGTGAGACAAAGTGTGTGTGGCCCGAGCCTAGGCCATGAAGTACCACCAAGAGGGCCAGGACTCGTGGCTGACACGTGGCTGTGTCTTGGCAAAGCCCCCTGGATATGGCAAGGACACGAGAACTCACGGCAGCGCCCCTTTGGGAAGGGTTGGGGGCAGCTGCACAGCAGTGCACACAGGCTTCCTGACATTCCATCTCTCCCAAATTCCACTGAGTCCGTGAGGTATGCACACACCCAGGTGAGAACAGGGGGCTGCTCCCAGGATAACAGCCAGCAGAGCCCCAGGGAGACACCCCAATCCCCCCTCGTCCTCAACAAGGATCTCTGGAGCCGAAGGAACCGCCGTGCCAAAAACTGCTGGGAAGGGGATGGTCGGGGTAGGTTTGTTTGTTGCGGGGTTTTTTTTTTTTCACCTTTTAAGCTCAAGTTCGGTTTCCAGGGATCTGAAAAAGCCTGGCTGGGTTTGCACAACAGCCCAGCAGCCCCAGAGTCAGAATTTGAAATGACCAGAAACAGGGAAGTACCTACGAGGGGACGGGTTCCTCTTTACACGGACCAAGCCAAACTTTCCAACCACCACGGAATGAGAACCGGCAACGGGGACGTCCTCATCGGCATGCACAAAACAAAAAAAAAAAAAACCTCACTTTTTTCTTTTTTTTTTTTTTTTCCTGTTTTCTTTTTTTTTTGCTGATTCAAAGTTAAAACTGCATGTCCAGGTTATTCCACTTGCACAGAAAACTCCTGTTTGGGAGCGCCGACACCCCCTGGTGCTGACAGGTCACACCAAGGGTCTCCAACGAGGCTCCTCCTCCTCCTCCTCCTCCTCTTCCGTAGTCCCAGACCGAGGAATTGGTTTGAGTATGTACAAAACGCTGAGAGGAAACCTTGGAGTTCCACATGCTCTGTCTCGTTTCAAGAGTTACTGTAGCACGCTCAAGGAATTAGGTTTCTTGCCTAAAATGCTGAAACACCTTAATTTACTGACATTTTGGAATAAACCTGAAAGTAGACAAAACACGACCATCCATCCGTTCGGCCGCCAGCGACGAGTCTGGCGATGAGACTTAAAGCATTAATGGAAATCTAAGAATTAACTTTTTTTTTTTTTTTTTTTTAAACTCCACAGGCCTGATTCTTTACAGTCCTTTCATGGCAACTCCCGTTTTTCCTTTAGTTTTGTTTTTGTTTTTTTTTTCCAAGGAATGCTTGCCAAGGTAAGAACCACAGATGTTAGTTGATTTCTTCTCTTTGTAAATTCGCTTTATTAAACCAAACAATTATGCCAGCGTATGAGCTAGGTAAATTGATGTAAACTGCTCCTTCATACCTCAGATGCACATACAAGAGGCAATACTCTTCAGAGCCCCAAACATTACTGAAACGAAAACTGTAAAAATCTCTGTAAGTAGTGGATGAAGGTGGAAAACTACAGTATTTTGTTGCCCAGAACGTGTTCAGCGGTAAGGCTGCAAGAGACAATAACTCGTGGTCAGTACAGGCTTTTCACACAGCACTTCATTCACAGTTACAAAAATCCCTGATTAAGAAGAAATTCGTGCTCATAATTTGTTAGCCCCTCCCTCTGTGCCCTGGAAACAGCCTCTCTAGGTAAAAGAGACTGGAGTATTTTTTATTTCTGAAATTATTACAAGGTTCCCCCCACACACACCTCCTCCTTTTTTTGGATTTTAGAGGCTTTCCAAGTAGTGGAAGACCACTATAACGAGAGACATGCCCCAAGACTTGACATAATACCACTATTCTGGCATATTTAATATTTAAGGAGGTGGCTGTGATCCCACTGTTGCTCAAACTCCTCATCTGCACTAACAGATTTGTGCCACTGAATTCCCAAGCTTAAACGAGCGCTAATTTGGGAGTAACTCCGCACCAAAACCAAATACTCACATGGGGACCACCAGGCATTGACGGAGCACCAGCAGGGCCGGATGGCACTTGAAAAGGATTAGGGGGCGTAGGATATAGTCCTGGAGCCGGATATGATCCTGTGGGTGGAGGAAATGGCCCTGGCGGCGAAGGTCCCCACGTTCCAGGCGGGACCGTCCCCCACGGCACCGTCGGCGCGGCCCCCGGAGTCTGGGTAGGAGCGGAATATGGCCCTGGGGGTGGATATGGCATGCTGGGAGCAGGATACTGCCCTCCCATTGTTGGTCCCCATGCTCCGGAGGGCATGGATCCCCATGGCCCAACGGGAGCAGGAGGCGCCGCTGGCTCCGTTGGACCTCCGTAAGGTCTTGGAAGCTCTGGAAAGGGCATGTTTGGTGGCGGATACTGCCCCGGCGGGACGGGCCCTGGCACAGTTGGGGGTGGATACGGACCACCAGGAGGAGGGCAGGAGGGTCCGGTAGGAGGAGGAGGAAATGGAGCAGGCGGTCCCGGGGGCATTGAAGGATACATTCCCGTGGGAGGAGGTCCGAAGGGCACACTGGAAGCGGACGTGTTGGGCGGCAGTCCCGTCGGTGTCATAGGGGGGGCGCTGGGGTTATTCCAAGGGTTGGAAGCCGGCCAGCCCTGCGGAGGCTGCCCGGGCTGCTGGCCAGGCTTGGAGCTGCTCACTTTGGAGGTTTTAGCGGGCGACTGGTCGGGTAAAGCATCTGCCAACTGCAAGACAAAGCGCCGGTGAGAGCGGAACGTGCCGTGCCCGTGCCGAGCGAGCGGAAATTCCCAGCTGCAGACATCCCGCCCACCGCGTGCCCACGCTCCGGCTGCCGGGACGGGAGGAGGAGGAGGAGGAGGAGGAGGAGGAGGAGGAGGAGAGCTCTCTGTGGCTGCACAGACATGGCTAAATTCATCCTTGTGCAGGTTCTGCCACTGAGGTAGAACACAGGCATTCTGACATGCCCCGGTGGTGAAAGGCCACCTACCGACCGGAACAACGAGCAAGCTGCAGCACAAACCCGGGAATGTTTCCCTACGTTTCCATTACAGCTACTCTGCTGCCATTAAAGCACAGCCCCTTTGTGAATGCCACACAAGAGAACCCCACGAGGCACCCAGCAGCTTCCAGTGTTTAGTCCAGGGATTGCTACATCTGCCCAGAAGGAAAACACCACTCAGGGAAATCACCTCTCAGCCGTCAGCTCTCCCTTTCTCCTCCAAAAACCTTTAGAAAGAAGGAACACAACTGGCTGATCTTCAGGAAAGAAAAACTGTTACTTACCGAAAAATCATCAGTTCCAGACATTGCGCTGAAAAGTAAGGTAAGATAAAGTGAAATTTGTTGAAAATAATAAAGGTATCTATCTTTAAGCAAGACTTCATGAGGCACCTACGCTGCTCTCACTGGAAGCACGGGAAGTGTCGAACTGGCAGCACCTCCTGGTGCCTTGGTTTTAGTTTCTGACCCACACCAGACCCAAGCTTAGCAGTGTCCAGCGCCCAGGGGATGCTTTGGGGATCCTTGGGTACAAGGTAATGGAAATAAATGGGATTAAATGAACAGGGATGCCCTGGAAGTACTCCACGTGTTTTCTAAACTGGGATTTGGAAGAGGCATGGCAGGATTGTTGCAGGTGAAGTCAATGCATCTAAACCAAAACCTGATTAAATCACAGAATCCTGGAATGGTTTGGGTTGGAAGGGACCTTTAAAGAGCAGCTCATTCCAACCCCCTGCCATGGGCAGGGACACCTTCCACTAGTCCAGGTTGCTCCAAACCCCATCCAACCTGGCCTTGGACACTTCCAGGGATCCAGGGGCAGCCACAGCTTCTCTGGGCAACCTGTGCCAGGGCCTCCCCACCCTCACAGTCAGGAATTTCTTCCCAATATCCCTCTAAACCTGCCCTCTGTGAGCCCTTGTCCTGTCCCTCCATGCCTTGTCCCCAGTCCCTCTCCAGCTCTCCTGGAGCCCCTTTAGGCCCTGCAAGGGGCTCTCAGGTCTCCCTGGATCCTTCTCTTCTCCAGGTGAACCCCCCCAGCTCTCCCAGCCTGGCTCCAGAGCAGAGGGGCTCCAGCCCTCTCTGTGACCTCCTCTGGAGTCACTCCAGCAGCTCCACATCCTGGAATCCCCACACAGATCTCACTGTCAGAAATAAAAGAACTGCAGTTTGCTGATGCTTTAATCCTCCAATTACTCCATAAAACGCTAAAGGCCGTGGATGCTCTTATTTACCTCCACTGGCTCTATCAGCTGACCACAGACCTGCCAAAGCTGTCATTAATGTGTAACCAACTTCCAACCCCTCCACACTTGCAAGCAGCACCGAGAACAGGGATCCCTGAGCCGTGTTCTACCTTTCCATGAAGGCAACAGCTGCACTCGGGGCTTTTTGGAGCTTCACCACGGTGACCCCTGACTGGCTTCGTCAGTCCTGACCAGCCACACAAAGGGGCAAAGTTCTGTTTTGCAGAAATGCAAAAATATAAGTCAAGAGTTCAAGTACTACTGCCAGGGTGACCCCCAGGAAAAACAATCCTGTTCCCCCCTTGCTGATGGTGAAGACCTGACTCCTAACACCGAGAGGGGTCTCAGGGATGGAGGTCTGGACACACAGCCCAGATCAAACTAGGTTTGTAAGCTCCATTAGGTTAATGTACATCCACATGATTTGCATTCTGTCATTTAGACAGACTTCTCTGAAACTGCACTGCAGGTTTATCACTACAGCTTCCTAATATTGGGACAGTTCTGGCCATTTAGCTCAGCATCCCGTTTCATCTTAACAATGACCCCTAGGGAGGAACAGGAACAGGGATGGCCATCACCCCACCACCTCCATGACTCCAAACTCAGACACTTCCTTAAGTTACAGGCGATTTCTTTGGAGTAACAGCTCTCAAATAACTCCTTTTTCACTAACACATAAAATTCCCCCACTTGGATATGGGGTTGTCTCATTTCCCTGCCTCGAGGTTGTTCCTAAAACACCCACTGGCCAGAAACTCCAACTCTTTGTTGCACAAAAAGGCACCTTCTTTTTCATCTCCAAGCCTGGATTTCACCGGTTTTGGCTGCTGCTCCTCCAATCTTGCAGCTGAGGATACCAGCCAGCCTGCCTTTATCCACCTCCCCGTGCTGATCATTATCCTCCAGATTTTTACCACTTTCTTTCAGCTGTCCCTTCTGCAGGCTGAGCTCCAGCTCGTCCCACTGACCCCCCACCCACCGTGCAGCAGCTTTTCCACACCTCTGATTGTTCTCCCTGCCTCTCTTTTGAGGCTTTCCCAAGTCTTTTGTACCTCTTGGGATGAATGACAAGTTAAAAAAAAAAAAACCCACAGAGGATTGAGGATGGGGGATAACCACTGATTTATACAGTCTCATAATTATGCCTTCTATTTCCTTCCTAACACTTCCTAATGTTCCATCTGCTTTTTGATCCCCGTGGAACTGCCACTTCTGTGGCAATATTTCATTCCCCGGTGTTAAGGGTCAGCGCATCGTTTTATATGTGAAATTATATGCACCACTCTACATTTATCTACTCTGAGTTACAGCAGATTTATCACCACTGAATTATATCTGCCGATTTATTACCTAATCCTTACTTTCCTGGATGGTTTCATATCAACAGGACACTGCTCATCCCATTTCCCAAGTTATTTATGAGCACACGGAGCAACCCAGACCTCTGTGGAAACACAGTGAACTTTTCAAGTTATACCTAATAATTTCAATAAACCTTTCAAGAAAACACCCAAGAATTTCAATAAATCTTTTAAGAAATGCCCATTAATTTAGATAAACCTTTCAAGAAACACCTAATAATTTAAATAAGCCTTTTTTTAAGAAACACACATCTACAGAGTTAACACCTGGGTGGAATTCAGGGCCCTGACTGCATCAGTCTGAAGGTTTGTTCAAATTCCAGCATTAATTTACAACAGCAGCAGCTCCTTCGAGTAAAGGATCTTTGTCTCAGATCAATGACTGTTGGTTTAAAATTGAGGAACCAACTGAACTACATCAGGAAAGCGGTTTCTGCTTATTATTAAAAGCTCAGATGTTCAACCAGGAAAAAACCCTCAATTTCTCCTCAATAAATAGCTCTTAAGTTAAGAGTTCATTAGTTTTTGCAACGATCCACACTCAACAAGAATAAGTTGACATGTGCTTTTCAGTGGCACTGGAGTTCAATTCAACTCTGTGGGCATAGAAATTATTTAATAAAACCCACAAAATGTGAGAAATCATTAATATAGAGACAAGTTAAAAAAAAAAAAACAACCTTTTAAATAAGTGTACATGCAAATGTAGCAGTGATAATAATAATAGTAATTAAAAATCATGATATCAAAAAGCAACACCGAAACAGGCCAAGAGAATCCTCCTTTCTTTAGGGAGGAGGAGAGATGGGATAAAACCAACTGAAAAAAACCAGACCTACAAGAGATCAAAAAATAAGCCCTGAGAAGAAGCTGCAACATTTGCTGCAAAGGGGGAGAAGGAAAAGAGGTGACAAACCTAAAGGGGAACTCAGAAGAAAATGCTGTGATCTGTCACTGGAGTGACAGAGGGGAGTAAATTCAAGCCAAGCAGTGGATGAGCACAGCTGATCACCAAATATCAACCAGCATCCCCAATAATATTTGTTAGCAGACGATTCCTAAATGTTTCTGTGCCATGAAAAGGAAGGGGACAATTCTGCTGCACGATTTATGGGAAAAAAAGAGAAAACAAAAAAAAAGAAGGTAGTTAAGCATAGCTTATAATGAGATTTAGTGGCTCTTTTACTTTGGCAAGCAGACAAGAGCAACATTTGTTGGCAACATTTGGGATAACTGAGCCCATGCCAAGCATGTCAAGGATCCTCCTGCAGACAGGATGGCCTATTTCAGGGATGTTTTTTAAACAGACATTTAATCTGGGCCCTGCCACCTTCGTTTCAGAGGAAAGAAACCGAAATTACCCCCTCAGACACGTTCAGGCAACAGATGAACTCATCTGTACTTAAATCCGGAATCCGCATATTCTGTTCAGGTTGTTCGACACCAAAAGGAATTTCAGTCAAAACCCCGCAGAAATATCGATTCTGTTCACAAAAGTATCGCCCAAGGCACTCACATGCTCAGCAGACCTCCGAGTAACTGAATTTGGAAGCCCCCCCCCGGTCACAGGCGGGCTCAAGAATTTAGGAAAAACCCCCACACTGAGTGGTGCCTCGATGGGATTTTTTAGACCCGGCGAATTAACAAGCGGCCTCTCGTTTTCTCTCTAAGCTTTCCTCGTGGCCCTGAGGTGAGCAGAGAAAAAGCCCTTTTGTGTAAGAGACTTTAAACTCTGCTCCAAATGATCCTTTCCTGGAGCTGGGCTGAAGGAAGAGCACATGGAAGGAGGGTTCAGCTGGCAGGGAGCAGAGAGACAAGACAGCAGAGCTGGCAGCACTCACACCCAAGTCCTGCTGCATCCACCGTGCTGTAAGATAAGAATTCCTTTGTTTTCCCAAGGCCAACGCCCCTGGAAACATCCCTGGTTTTCCAGCAGCCCCAGAGCCTGCCAGCTCCAGGTCCAGCTGGTCAGGGCACCACTTCCCAGCCACCTCTGAGGACACACACACGGCCAGAAGCACCAAAGGGAAGAGAAGGACGGAGAGAGACGATCCATGGCTGCAAAAAAAGGCCTCCAGGAGCTCAATCCCTCTCATCCTTCACCCTGGAGAGCCCTGAGAGGGATGGAGGGCTTCACTGCACCTGCCCAGAAACCACACACAGCAAAATCTTCAGGCCTCCTGGACACCCAGGAGCTGCTCCCGAAAAGTAACAGCAGGGAGGTGAGAGGAGCCACAGGCTGGGAAGAGAAAGGCTGGGAAGCACAACTCCAGCGTGGCACTGGCAGGAGAAGGAGAGTTCCAGCAGCAAGTGCTCACAACCAACTGGTGACTTGCTGAGGGGTCTGAAATCCCTGTTTCTGGAGGTTTGGTGCCGTTTGTGCTGAGCTAAATCCAATCCTACAAACAGCTTCCACAACAAACCAGCCCGAGGGTGTTCTGGGAGCTCCAAACCCTCTCTGGTCTCATCCATCCCACCAAAACTGGTGGATCTAGTAGCGTTTTTTTCCCATGCTCTCGCCTTTCCTGGCTTTTATCCACCACCAGTCCTCGAGGACTCTCGTCAGAAAGAGCTGCCCAAAGCACTTTTTCTTCCTTGCCCCAAAACGAAGCATCGACTGCTTTCCCGTTTCTTTTGAGTTGTGTGACATTTCCCCAACACTTGATGTGCCAGATTTAGTTCCTGTCTCCAAGATCATCTTTCAAACCCAGGGAAAAAAAAAAAAATAAAAAAAAATAATAAAACAGGCTCTCTGGATGCAACAGGCTGTGCTGCATTTCCACTGGGTGGCACAGCTCCCTCGGCAGAGAGAGAGAGAGGTTCCTCTGCCACTCCAAACATGACTAATTCCTGCCAGCATAACCTCATCTACAACAGGATTCCTGCCCACATGAAGTGTAACTACCCAACATAGCGCTGGGAGAGAAATGGAAGAGACACCGAATCTTTTTTGACAGCTTGGGAAATGTTTTCCGAAATATGCAAATTTCTGCAGCTCCGGGGCGTTAAAATATCAACACTTCAGAGCTGGCCTGGATGGAACCACGGAATGGTTTGGGATGGAAAGGGATCTTGGAGATTATCCTTTTCAACCCCCTGACTTGGGCAGGGACACCTCCCACTAGACCAGGTGGCTCCAAGCCCCGTCCAACCTGGCCTTGGACACTTCCAGGGATCCAGGGGCAGCCACAGCTTCTCTGGACCAACCTGTGCCAGGGCCTGCCCACCCTCACAGCCAGGAATTCCTTCCTAATATCCCATCTAACCCTGCCCTCTGTCAGTGTGAAGCCATTCCCTGTGTCCTGTCCCTCCAGGCCCTTGTCCAAAGTCCCTCTCATGGAGCACCTCTCCCAGGAGGAAAGGCTGAGAGAATTGGGATCGTTCAGCCTTCCAGGCTGAACGATCCCAATTCTCTCAGCCTTTCCTCCTGGGAGAGGTGCTCCATCCCTCTGATCATCTTGGCAGCCTCCTCTGGCCCTTTCCCCACCTTCAGTGCCTCCTCACAGGCCATAAATCCTTCAGTCTGCCCTGGGCGTTTAATCCAGCGGGATAACAAAGGCAAACTGAACAGCTCCATCATCCGCAGCTCCACGAGGTCTGAAGATATTCCTGCCCCTTCCCCATTGTCTGCTCTGACTGGCAAAGAGGGACAAAAGGCAGAGCTGTTGTTGTTTTCACACTTCCAGGTCGGGGTTTCGGGCGGGAGCAACAACAAAACTGTGGCGTTTGCTGCAAATTATCAGCCACCAGACAAAAAAAGAAAATAAAAGTCT